AGTGATGTGGAAACAGTGTTTTGGAAACATTGTGAAAGTCTCTTCACCCAACCACTTAGTTAAATAACCACATGATGCTGAAATTTGCTCAGATGCTCTCCTTTGGTTTCCTGATTATTCAGTAACTTTAATAATGAAGAACATACCAGTAATTGCAATCTCATCTTTTTTTAAAACCAAGTAACTCCTAACCCTCCCTTTCATTTTTGCTGTCTTATGTTCCTGCTTGCTGCTCCTCTTTTCCCCATCAGTTTTCTTTCTGTGTATTTCTAGTTAGCATCATGTTTTATTGTACGGTGCATTCCCAGATATTGGGATTTTCATCGTATCTTCAGATGCTCCCAAGACCTGTCCTGTGTGTGCTTGTCAGTCATCTCTCCAGATGACCAGAGATGAGTTAGGTCATGACTTGAGAGGAACTGTAGATTACTGCTAAAAGTGTGTGTGTATCACCAAAAACATTAAGGTCAGCAAATGTGTACCAATGTAAATTAAGCCCTGCTTGTGCTGAAATAGTTAAGCCTTACTTTCTAGGCTCTTAGGAGAAGTGATCCACTTGAGTCAGCAGAAGCCCTGTATGATAAGCTAATTTAAGCAGATTTAACTATTCTTTACACACTGTTTTTGGGTGAGCAGGGCATTCTGGTTGCTGGAGGAGGCTCAGCAAGACCTCTGCTCAGCTAGAAACTTCAGCCGAGAAGCAAAAGGAGTAACGAGCTGCAGTGGGAACAAGAGGGGAGGCACGCTGTGTGCAGGTTGCAAAGCCATAACATCCGTATTCTGTGGGGATCACCCTAGAGGCTACGGTTCAGCTCTCATAGCAAAGCCCTTCCTGCATGTGAAAAAACAAACAAATTTGTAGCCACAGACAGATTGGAAAACATTCAGTGTGGAAGGCAAATAAATAGGAGGTGATAGAAGTCTCTGTAATAATGACTAGAATGCAGAAAGGGCTTTTGTGCTTTCTCTGGCTTGTAACAGAGTGCATCAAAAAGTGACATTTGCTGCTTTTTCTTAATACTGCTAAGTGGAAAGTTTTTTTTAAAACCTTTTTAAGCAGCATGTATCTAAAACAGTGATTTGGTATTGCAGCATTTGTGGAAGTTTAAAAACAAATTCAGCAAAACTGTGAAGTTGACATTTATGTGAGTAAGATACATTTTAGAGAGGATGTTACGATCTCCATGGTTTGGTTTTAAGCTGCCCTTTTTAATTAATAGGAATTAGTAATTGGCCTTTCTCTGAAGGTGTCTAGTCTTGATCAGTTAGAGCCAGAACAGTGTATTTAAGGGATCATAGATGTTATTTGATACGCAAGTTCCTGTATTGTGACTTAATTAAATAATTCATTATTACTGACTTAATTAAGGCAGTGTTTATTCAGTGACTTTGAACTCTTCAGTGTTTCAGTTCTTTTTAAAATTTGGCAGCAAATATGCACTGCTTCTCTGTATATATAAATTATTATTTCATGTAAGTAATTTTAATATATGAAATCCTACACTGACTTATAATGCAAGTTGCTGTACTTTCAAATTTAATTCTAGTGAGGTTTAGTTCTTTTTAAAAAATCTAATTTGACTTTTAAAACAAACACTTTCTGTTACAGGAATAAAGTCTCATTTTTATCAACCCTAAATTATTCTGCCTAGTTATTTAGGTCTGGTGGTTGGCTATGAGTCCAGCTGCCAGGGGAGAAGGCAGTGAGAACTGGGACTGAGATGAGCCTAGTGGGCAAGGGGCAGGCAGCCTCTGCCAGCTCTTCAGCAGCTGAGAATGTCATGGGCTTTGACAGGAGCCAGGGCTTGCTGGCATCGTGGTTTAGAGGTTGAAAGGCACAACCATAGAAAAGCAGTAGAGGAACTATTTATCCCTTTGATTTGATTTGGCTCTTGAGGGCTTGCTGATTCCTTGACTGCTGTTGAGTGCTCTCAAGTAGCCTCTCCTTGGAGTGGTTCAGCTTTCCAGGCTATGCAAAAGAGGGTTTTGTCACTCAGCTGCTTTTCTCTCTTTATATACATACACAACTGTAGTGCTCAGCTTTTAAGAAATATGAATGCCTGCTGCTTCCCTGTGGTGTGGTTGGTTTTGGAGAGTCAGACCCAAATGGGTAGATGCTCCTGAAGTGCACCAGCAGACCTCTAGGTCCTGTCCACTGCACTGGTGCCAACTCATTAATGGTGATAGGAGTGCCTGAGTATCACTTGGCAAAACTGTTGGGTCCCCATCCTGTCCTGGGGCCTCCAGACCTTTCATAACTCCCAATTGATGCACAGCAGTAAAGAATGTGGCTTATTGCAGTTAGAGATAACAGGAATGGCATTTGAAGGAAAAGGTATCTGGGGGCAAGCTGAATGCATTTGATATAAAAATGATTGAGTGGCAATAAACTTTTAACAGCCTGCTTCAGCATGTGCTTTCTCTCCAGTGCTTGGAAGGAGGCTTTGGGTAGTGCCTTTCATCACTTCAGGGTTGATTTTGCAATTATGCTGGCCCTGAAAACCTGTAGAACATGACACCCATTCCCAGTATTTATCAGTATCTCTCATTTGTAGTTTTATGCCTCTCTTTTAGGGCACTTGTTTTAGTTGGTTCCAGCGGACGATAGCTAACATCAGTTATCGGCGATATTACTGCGTCTTGGAATGGTGCTGGTTATGATGAATAATGGTAGGCAAACCGATACTTTTTTCCTTGAGGAGCACAAATCATGCTTGTCTCCCAAGTGAGCTGATGGTTTGGCAGGGTGAAAGGATGAATAAAAATTGCCTTCCAAGTGCATGCAAGTTGACAGCCTGAAAGGTGATTTTCTTGACTCATATACTTTAGGTTCCTGGGTTTTACATATGGCAAGTCTCCAGAACAAATATTGCTTTTGGAAAACCTAATCAAGTTCTGCCATAAGACTTAAGTTACTGAGTGTCAGGCCTCAAATGATATGCTTGATTTAGACTTCTCTGGAGTTCAAAAATTGTAAATTTTTATCAGCAGTGGTTTCATGGAAAAATGCAAAGCGAAAGTTGAAACTTTTATAAGAATAAATTTAGGCACTAGGGCTTTCAGAGGGGGTGAGTTCCACATAGAAATATAATCTGTTCAGTGTTTTTTTCAAAGCTTGCTTTCATTTCCTTGGGAATGCTTTGAAGGGATGCTGTCACCCCACGTCATATTGTCATGTTTTTACACTACAAACCCTTGTGTAGTATCATGTGCTGATACTGAAATTTGTTTTATTTGTTGGGTCACAGTTTGAGATCCCTTTAATGAAAAGGAAATATCAAAAGGAATTCAACAAAAGGGGAGAGAAAATGTAAATTGGGTCATTTTACTTCTCCCTCATACTCTTACGCTGGCTAGAAGAGACAATTTAATGCAAAAATTTGTGTGTAGTTTCAACTTGTGGTCTGTGGGCTGTGTATTAGGGAAAAAAATTGAGCTACTAGTTCACCAAACTGTTCCCCGGAAAAACATCGAAATATGTTTTTGCTTTGTAGGTGGATATTTTAAAACAGCGTATGCAAAAACTGCAGCATGTGGCCACCACATAGCCCAAGACAAGAGAAATTTGTTTTCATTCAGAATGAATATGAGCAAACTTTGATTGGGAAAAGGAGAGAAAGATATGATGCAGACATTGGATTGGGCTGTTTAAAAATGGGCAATCAGAGCAATTAGATTGGAATTGGGGAGCTTCAGAGCCCACTGGCAGTAGTAGATCCCGAGGCAGCAGTGAATAAATCACCTTGTTGGGAAGGAACATTTGGCTTCAGCTGTGGCCAGACTTCCAGGACTTACAGACAGCAGCTCACTCAGGGAGGTACCTTTGCTCTTGCTTTGGTAGTGCTTGGGTGTCTCTTTGGAGCTGAGCTCGGTTGAATGCTTGGTTATGCAATGAGTAAGTGCCTTGGTGGTGCTGGATGGTGGATGTTTACTGAAAACAGCCGTCTGAAATGGTGTGGCACTGATATAGTCCTGGTGGAAATTCTTGAACTGCAGTTCTTTTTGGAAGGGGCAGCACAGCCCTCCCCTCCCTGCCTTCCCCACCACGTTTTCTTTTCTAAGGTGCAATTATTGAGAGACTGAAATGGCTAAGGGAAGGAAGTCCTATCAGCATTTCTCTAAAGAATACACCCGCAAAACAAAGCTTTGTTACGCTGTTTCTAAAACTATTTGGGTGGAGAGATGAGAAAGCATTCTCCTGGATAAAATTGCAGCTCCTCTGGTAATAAGGTCTTATATCATCAAGTAAGTAGTGATCTAATAAAACAGTTTCCTCCCTCTCATCCCAGAGCCTGCTGAAGAATATGTTACTATTTTAATTCTTAAGTATGAGTGCTTTCATTGCCTATCTGCTGTTGTTAGAAAGAGTCATATTATACTGTAATTACTTGGTGGCGTAGAACACAGAAAATTTGTTAAACGTTATGCCTGCAAAGGTCCAATGCTGTCTTCTGTCTGTGTAACAGTGTGACTCTGCTGTATTATTGTTACAGGAGAGAAAAGGCACAAAAGGGAAGGCAGCTGTGGCCTGTGTACCTTTGCTGCCTATGTACTTTTTCTGGCGGTTTGGAGTTGCTGTAGATGAGTAACACTTGGCCAGAAGAATTAAAGTCAGGAAATGGATATTTGATGATCATTTCTTTGGGATTTATATAGATAAATGCAAAATACTCTCATCTATGCTAGTCATAAGAATTCTGTAAAACAAGGATGAGTTTGACTAAGCTGTGTCCCTTTTTTGAATGTGACAAGATTGTGATACTATTGCAAACACTCATATTGTAGTTATTTGAGATTGGAGTCTTGGAGTTAACCAAATCAGAAACAGGAAGCCTGGCAATTTTTTACTGAAGTACCGCTATGCAAAATCAATGTTACCAGTCTGTCTCTTTGCAAGACAGTTGCTTTGGGTATAGGCTCTCTATTGTAAGTGTCACATGGGAATTTTCATAAAATTACTGCAGGTTTGAATATTGTGTACTCCTTTGTCTTGTTTGCAGGACTTCTCACTAATGGCCAATCTAAAGGATTAGGACCAGGATCAGAACAGCTGGAGAATGAGAAGGACGATGCGTCGCAAGTGTCCTCAACGAGCAACGATGTTAGTTCTTCAGATTTTGAAGAAGGGCCCTCAAGGAAAAGGTCAGTAGTGAATTACGGTTAAAGCAGAGCCTTTCTTCTTCGTCCCTTTTGTCTTAGACTGCTTTTTATGTTATCAGTAGGGTATGGTTGCACCTACTTGCCCTACCATAAAAGGACTTTCCAGCATGGATTCCTTCTATGAACAGCAAAGATACAGCAAACTTTGCTTTATTCATTGGTGTGGATGGTTCTTGTTGCTGTTTTGGAAAGCATGGAAAAGCAGTTGTTATTTTACAATTGATGAATTCTAATTTAAATGCCTTAAGACTCTCCTCTTCTGGCTTTTGCCTCAGGCCACGTCTATATGTACGTGTGTGCAATTTCAAGGAAAGTATCACTAAAGTAGTTACTGTTACTGTTGTTATTTTTAGTTTTCGGTGAATGAAACCATGTAAAGTTAAAAATATAGAAAAGAACAAAACAGATGCTTCTGAGAAGAGGAACTACATAGTAATGTGGTGTGGTGGCTATCATTTTCAAAGGACTGCTTTGAGATACTGCTGAAGCAAGCTGCCTTCTCTTTCCTAGAAGTCACTGAGTGTGCAAAATGTGGGTTAAAATCATAGACCTCAAGCCAATCAATTACAGAAAATACGCTGAGAATGCAGGCGGCTGGGAGTTGTCCTCTCTGTGAAGTAAGAACGAAAACAGCTTGTCTAAAAAATGCCTCTTAAAAGAGAGAATCAGAAATGCTTCCTCAACCTTTTCTCCTCTGTCCTCAAAGTTTTTTCCTCTGCACTCCTCACACTGTAGTTCCAAGCCAAAATGAACTGTATAGTTATAATAATAGTAACAGAAATTATCTTTCAAACAAAAGAAGTATCCCTGTTTTCTGTATGACCTTAGAATTCCACTGAGAAGCCTTACGGGGTGAGGAGACTGGTGCTTTCCTGGACACCCTCCTCTTCCAGTGTTTCCCATCCCTGGTTCCCACAATCTTTCCTGTGTCCCCAAGCCACAAACTCAGACTCAAACTAATGTGCCCACTTAGCTCATCGACAAATCTGAGTAAAATTTGTTATCTTCCATATTAATAGAAATTTTGCAAGGCTTATTGCATCCTGCTGCTGGTCAGAGCAAAGTTATTTGTATTCTGATTTTGTGCTTTGTGAGATACAAGAAAGGATTGAAAATAATTTCTGCTGAGCTGTTTAAGTGACATCTACTGTTGGTGTAATGCTGGGAGACCATGGTCATTATTTCATGGTCAACCTGTTGCTTGCACATTGTCTTAAAGAATTTCTGCTTCCTTCTACACTTAGTTTGTCCCCTCATTCCTCAGCTGTGCTGTCATAATGGCTTGCTGGGTCACACCATGAGTAGCTTCAAGAAGCTGGTTAGGATTAAAAATAATAGCCAGAAGAAGATGAATTAAGGCTTTTTGCCAGGTTTCAACATTTTTTTAATCTGCACAGGACTTTTATCTCTTGTTCAGAGTATGATTGTAGGAGCAGCTGCGGGTGCAACCAGGGGCACTTCCTCATCCTCTCTTGGGGCTGGCAAGGGGCAGCAGGGCTTGTCCCTTACACTGTACCTGCTCCTGGTGCCCTGCACAGTCCAGCTTCAGAAATTAATAGGATTTCTATATCACCAGTCTCCAGAAACTGCACTTGGGTACTACACTTGAGTACTTCCAAATATTCGGAAGAATGTTTGGTAGGTTCGGGCTGAGGGAATTCACACCCTTGAGAGGCAGCTAGGTGGTTCAGGCAAAATAATAGGGAACTCAGTGCCTTTGGTACTCTTCAGATTAAACCCAACAAAAAAATCCAGCCCAAACACAGACCCAAGATGAAAACTTTTTCTGAATTTCATTTCGTTGAAGGCAAGGCATCATTTCACTACTTCTTCAAGCATCATGAGCTGTAGCAATAGTACTACAGTTGTTTTTCTGTTACTGTGAAGGAGACTGTTCCTGTTTTGTTTCCATTTACACCCAACAGAGACTTTTACCTGTTTTTGCTTCCTCCTTGCAGACAAACCTTTTCTGGGTTCCTTCTCTTAAGCTGTAGTGGAGCATGTTGAGTGTTTCTATATCATCTTCTTGTTTCCTTTTAAGCTTTTTGTTTTCTTTAGCTGAATATACAATGTTTCTTCAATTCAGGTTATCTTGTAATCCCAGAAAGAGTTGTGTTAGGAATACTGGGCAAACAAATGACATGCAGGAAGATAATGAGAAGGCAAATGTGACTGAAATGGAAAGTGTGGGTTGACTGCCTCAGCTAACCAAATTTCGAGAAGTTATGTCCTCCAGAGTTTCTCAAAATCAAACTTTTCAGTTGTCTGTTCAGCTGGGTGTATAACTAATGACACTCTTGTAATAAAATACACCTTTAAAGACTGTAGCTTTAGCAGTGTATATGGTGAAAGTGTGCAGATGTAATATAATACTGCAAATTTTCTTCAGAAACTCATTTAGATACTAGGTTTAATAGAGCATGATTTTTTGAATGCAGTGGCCTGACATTGTTAGGCTTCAAATGGTTCCAACTAAAGGAAACTTCTTACACAACCAGGTTTGCAATCTGATGGGAAAAACTCCCTTCTTTTCACTTGTATCATTTTATATTGCAGTAGTGTGCTGGACTGCTAAAAGTCTCCAGCCTGCCTTTTGTGGTGCTGCAGATTTCAGCTGCTGCTGGTGGTGGTGCTAAAGAGGAGTACATGTACAGCTTTGCCCCTTCACAGCCTCGAGATAACTCCAGAAAATGTTAGCCCTTCTTAGAGAGCAAATGGTGTTTGGGGAGGATTGGTAGTGGCAAGCTCAGTACTTCAGAATACTTTGATTTGTTTGAGTTTACTCTCGAAAGGATGGAAAACATCTGAGCTGTGTGTACTACTAGTGGCCACTTCTGAGGTGCAGCAGCAGGGTAATCCTAAGTAGTAAATATTACTTTCAGCCAGTAAAGTTGGAAAGTGCCAGCGTTATTCTAACATGTAGCAAAAGCCAAGCATTCAAATGTTGCACTGAATCTGTTGTGCAATGGGTTGCTGTCTAGTTGCCATGTAAATGAGACGAGTTGCTGATTTGTTCAATGCTTTGGGGAGAAATGAACAAAACTGTTGGTATATGGACTTGATAAACTGCCAGATCGGGTGGTCTTCACCATGTAAAGATGGCACATTTTTCAAAACCTATGAACAAAAGGGTATTGCTGAAGGAGAAGCGTAGCTTCCATGTAGCTGCACGTTTTTGTTGTCGATCTCCAGTGTCCAGCTATGATTCTCCATTGAGAAAATCAATAGGTAGCTGGCCAAAGGTGTTTGGTCTCTGTGCTGGGTGGTTGTGCATTTTAATGGGCAACTCTAAAGACTGCAACCACTGGCAATTAATAACAGTGTACAGAGACAGCTGTAGGTTTTTCTAGCAACCAATTTCCCACCTTACCCAGGAAGAGACATGCAGATCAGACTTCACGTGACAGTATGTTGGTCTTTGGTCATAACAGGCTATTGATTGCTTCCTATTACTAATCAGGCAGCTACTCATTTATATGGCCCCCTTCCCAGAAATTCACACAGGGAATTGCCAGATGAACAAATGCATTTGTCTTTTATTTTGAAGTTGTGTTAATGGAGGGCTGTGTGAGGTGAGAAGAGGTTGACTGATTTTGATAACTGGTAAACTTCAAAGTGGGGATTTTTTAAATTTAATATTAGAATATTCTCTGTGTTAAGGCAAAAAAAATATACTGGCTTAGTGTAGGAAAAAATTAGGGGTAGAGAAATTTCTTCTCTTGTAGTAGCAACAGTGTAGATGGACATTGCCCACTGGGCCAAGGGTGTGCAGAGCTCCTGGGAGAAGACAACTTTGTCCAGTTCTTTTGTAGGGAAGGCTGTTGGCTGCAGGAGAAAGGAACAACCCACTGGGGAGCAGTAGCATTTTAAGTTGTCACAGCTAGATTGGCCAGAAATTGCTTATTAGGAACCTTCTGAGGCCTTTAATTAATACAGCAGCTTTCTGCTAACAGTCTCAAGCATGTGACAGTCAGAAGTGTGATTGTGCACTATAGCAAGGCCAACCCATGGGATGTGCTCCTGCTCTTTGCCTTGTGCTGGCTCCCTGCTGCCCCCTCCTTTTTCCTGTATGTCTTTTTTAAATTTTTATTTTTAGATGCCAGTTTAACTCCCTGAACTGTCTCATTGTGGAGCAACAGGAGGGTTAAGGTTTGTCAAATGAAAAGGTGGGGGTGTGTGTGGAAGGAGGGGGAGACCAGCATGCTGACCTCCCTTGGCTGGTGGCTGCACAGCTGCTAGGCTGGCAGAGCTGTTTTGCACCCTCAGCATAAAAAAAGGCCAGTCAAGGGTAGGCAAGCTTTTGCATATTAGGCAAGCTGCTAATTTAAGTGGTTTCTTTTAGTGATATATCCTTTTCAATTTGATTTGCAAAGGATTTTCCTGCAGTAAAGCTGTAAAAGGTTGAGGGGACATAGGGATAGGGTTTTTTCCCTATTTTTTTTTTTTCTTTTTCTTTTTGTCAAATTGTTTTTATAGCTAATAATGAGCAGTCTCTTTAGCACTAGACTTCTCACCTTTCATGCAAGATGTAAAACAAGGTCAATCCTGTTCCCACATTTGTAAGTTTGTGAGGGATTTCTTCTTGGTGTATTGTAAATTATTTGGAAGAGTATTATGACTCGGGTACGAAAGCAGGGGACTGCTTGTAATATCAAAGTGCTTTTCCAGGACCTTTTTAGTGAATAGTCTTTCCACTAATTGGAACACTATATAATGTATTTGTGTTCAGCTGTTGCCTGCTGCAACACAGTGTAAGCCCACTTATCAACCAGGTGCTTCTGTTATTTTTTTCTCCTTTCAGCAGGCAGTGCAAATCTGCACTAGTTGTTTGTGTATGAAGAACTACATTAATCCACAATAAAACCAAAATGGCAATGAGATTTATGTATAATAATTTTTTTAACACCCCACCCCTGCCCCCCTTCTGGGAATGCTGATATGATTGGAATATATTTTTAGTGCTGCACATTTATATTTAAATA